ACTTTTTAATCCCATAATTCTCTTGTGAAAGGAATTACAACACATTTTGGGGTGTTAAAATCATAGTTGATGTAAATTTTTATGGCAAACTGTGACTTTTCAAACAGTCTGGGTGTTTTTCATTCCATTACCACACCAGGTCTCCTTTAAGTGGTGTGCAGTCACAGCTAGAAACGCCCCTTGGGACACCACTGACAGGGACACAAGGAAAACCCAGACCGTGAACACGTTACACTGCGGGTAGCTCGTGGGTGGGGGCGGAAGAAGGCTTGGTGGGAAGTGGCATCTGAATCAGGCCTCGGGAGAGGAACAGAAATTCATCTGCCATTACCCAAGGCACTCTCTCTTCTCCTTGCCCTCCACATCCAAGTTAAACTACGTCCTGTGACTCTTACCTCCTTAGTGAAAAAAAATTAATATTTACTGAGTATTATTTGCCAAGAACACCGCTCAACACTCTGTATACGTTACTTATGTTACACAACAACCGCCCCGTTTGGTCAGGCAGTATTCACTCCCCCTTGTACGGATGAGCAAACTGAGAACATTGATAATAAATAACTTGCCCGACAGCACTCAGCCAGGAAGTTAGGTGTCCAGGATCCTGATCTGTGGAGTGGTTGCAACATGTACACCCAATCCCTCTGCTACTCAACCCCCTGCACCTCTGCTGCCCCCACACTTCCTTGCTGGTGACACCCTTCCTCCTCAGAAGGGCCCTTGGCTCATTCCCCGTGAGTCCGGCAACCCTGGGCAGAACCCATCAGCCCACCAGTTTCCAGGGAACCAAAGTCCAAAGATCATCTCGAACATCATCTTTCTGGTGGTCCTGCTGTAACCTTCTCACAGGGCCCGTGAGAAGCACGCGGTGGCACAGATGTGGTATTTCCCAAGTCCCCATTACCGACTGTGCACAGAGCGTGCGCACACCGGCACAGCACCTGGCACCCAGCACCTTAAACGTTTGCAAACATCTGCTGGAATTCTGGTATACTTCCCCCACAACGGGATGTGCAGGGAGTCAAAGGGACAGAAGACAAGTACCTGGCACACCAAGGAGACAAAACACTTGCTTCCTCTAACCTGGGCCTTGAAAGAGGAGAAAGCGTAAGCATAGCCCAGGTGTGTACAATGGGGAAGAGGGGTCAGGGAAGGTGGCACCGCAGCCAAACAGCCAACGCACCTGGGGCTGCAGGAGCGCCTGCCATCGAGACCCAACACCAGACTAAGGACGGTGGGTGCAGCACAGCATTCTGTATACCAAAATTTCAACGTAAGGTCAGATAAAAAACCACACACCACATGGACTGAGACAGAAAGGGGAGAGAAATGCTAAATGCCTGAAGTAAAAAGGGAACTCATTCATCAAAAATGTCCATTTCGGAAGAGCTACCATTCAGTTTTACAAACTATAAATGATTTAAAAGAGAGTTTAAGATCCATATCCAATAGTCTAGTGATTTATAAAACATGCCCAAATTGGCTTTTAGCAACTAGAAGTGTTTGAAAATTAAACATTTACGGGAAAAATAATTTCATTATCAAACCGGAAGATTTCATAAACTGCCAAAACAACAAACTCAGGTGAAAATATCCGAAATGACCCCTGTATATAAGGCATGGCCCAGACACCTCTATCCTGCTGCTCCCCTGTCCCTATTCCTCTCCATCCACCCTGAGATGCAGGCCCGGGAACCCCCTGCCCTCTCTTCTCCTTCCTTGGTTCCGGGGAAGCAGGCCCGACTTTACCCAGAGTCACCATTCTGCAGAGGCAAAGCCCTGGTAAAGGCCCAGCGTGCTCCAGAAGGTGGGGAGGGGTCCACAGGTCCCCTCCCACTGCCGGTAGCAGCACAGACTGCCCCGCAGAGACGTGACGGGAGCCTGATGCCACATGAGAGGCCAGACCCATCTTACCTTGCTTTGCGATCCATTTCCTACAAGGCAGGAAGGTTGCTTTTTTTTTTTTCCATCAGGGTAGAAATTCTATGCTCAAAATTCATTTTCCCTCCTAACTCTGTAGTTATTGCTCTATTACTTGTAGCATCCGGTCAGGCAATTTCATTCTCATTCCTTTAAAATGATCTTGGAAGGGTCTTTTTTTCACACTAATCAGGATCCACGCAGCCGTGGGCCTGGCTTTCACTCATCCAGACACTCAGGTGTCTCTGAACCTATGCACGTTTCTGCCAATGTTTCCTGCCTCAGTTTTAACCCTGTGGGTGGACACGTAGCTGCTGCAGTCCTTAGTCAATCCTCTGTCCACATCTCCTGACCATTCTGTTTCCACCTTGGTCTTTTTGCTACACATGCAGGGAGTTCTTTACCTTTGAGGTTACTAATTTTTTTTTTTTTTTTTTTGCGTTATCCCATCATTCAATCCGTCCATCGAATGACCTGGAGCAACAATTTTTTAATCAAAAATCATTCTGGGGGCTTCCCTGGTAGCGCAGTGGTTAAGAATCCGCCTGCCAATGCAGGCAGGGGACACAAGTTCGAGCCCTGGTCCGGGAAGATCCCACATGCCGTGGAGCAACTAAGCCCGTGTGCCACAGCTACTGAGCCTGCGCTCTAGAACCCGCGAGGCATGACTACTGAGCCCGCGTGCTGCAACTACTGAAGCCCACACGCCTAGAGCCCGTGCTCCGCAACAAGAGAAGCCACCGCAATGAGAAGCCCGTGCACCACAGCAAAGAGTAGCCCCCACTCACAACTAGAGAAAGCCCGTGCGCAGCAACGAAGACCCAACGCAGCCAAAGATAATTTTAAAAGATCATTTTGACTGCACCATTTTCATAGCGGCCTTTTTTAGGTACAAACGTTCTCAAATCTCAAGTAGTGCAATTAGGTTTTTACTTTAAAATTACTTTGTTCTCTGAATCGTTTCCCCCAAGAAAAGCCATTCTGCTGGTTCATCTCAGCCTTTGTCACATGCTGTTCACTTTCCTCCTCCGTCCAGTGTGGATGACCCAGGAGAGTGCATTTCCTCTGCACTTGTTTCCACCAAATACGCCCCTTCGTACCATGGGGGCTGGCAGTGTAGACCGTGTCAGGAGGGCGGGTGGGTTAGTGTGCAAGGGTAGAGACCAGGTGGGGTCCCAGGCAGCCCGAGGCCGAGTCCAGGAGGGTCTGCACCTGGGCCGTGGGGCGTGCTCTTCCCCAGGTGAGCGCTGCCCTCCGGCACGTCCAACGGGGCCGTCGGTGCACGACCTCGAACCCCGCTGCTGCCCTGTGCCAGTGTCCACACTGAGCCGCAGGCAGGAGGCCTGCCCACGTCCGTCAGGAGCAATGCTCCGACCAGCCGGCGGGGGGGGCGGGGCAGCCAGGCCCGCTGTCCCTGAGCCACTCCTCAGACTTGAAGCAGGGGCCTCCCTGGGTTCAGGGTAAGGTCGGCTGTCCCCCTGAAAGCGTGCCGTGTCGTCCTCGGGCGGCAGCTGCCCAGCCCCAGCCTGCGCTTCCCAGACCCCTGGATCTGTGCATGTGGTCGCCTTGGATCCTCACCGGGCACGTACCGGGGCTGACTTCTGCTCCAGGCACCAGGGATACACACTGCTTACAAAGTCCCTGCTCCAACGGAGCTTATGGATGACAACCCAGCGCATCTCAGACAGCAATGAGAGATGAATAAAATACACAGGGCAAACGTGACAGTGACGGGAGGGAAAACGGGCATCCCCTTCCGGCTAGAGCTTCTCTGAGAACGAGACGCAAACAAGCCAGCCCGGCAGGATTCTGCGGGAAGGACGATCCAGACAAGGAGAGGCAGATACACCCCGAGACAGGACCCACCTTGGCAGCTCGCAGGTGCTGTGCGGCGCTGGGGCGGGGAGCGAGGAAAGAGGGGCGAGGGGCAAAGGCAGGCGGCGGCCATCGGGGCAGGACCAAGGTCAGCACAATGGGGGCCTGGTTACTGTCAGTACGAAATACAAAGGGCGTGAGCTTTCGCTCACTTTAGTCATCATCAATAAAACAAGACTTTTATTGACATCTGACACACAAAGAAACATCTGAAAAACTCCGCCGTACAATACAGGTTTTACCATAAAAATGTTATTTCCTGGGTTAATGTTTCAATATGTACTTCTCAACAAAAAGAAAACGCTAATCACCCTCAAAACCTTCTGTCTAATCAAGGGACACATGTGGAAACAGAGCTCTTTTTTCACAGCTGAATTTTAAGCTATTAAAACTATCGGATCAGATGTATGTATTGCTGATGACAAAGCGAGTCTCATAGTTGGCATTTTCTCCCCATCCTCCCAGATGCCATAAAAAGATCAGATTCTGTGGGTAACAGAAAAATGACAGATTTCAGATGCTACTATTCAAAAGTTTTCTGCAAAATTAAAGCGCCACACCCCGATGATCATTCCATTGAAATGATTTCAAATCACTGCACAGAAACCTAGCTCCTATCAAATAATATCAAAAATAAATCACACATTTGACACAGATTCCAGAGGGCCAGAACGGAACCACAATCTTTATAGAAAATGGCTTTTTACAGAGATGACATCCAAGGAAATACATTTTACAGCGAGCACATTGGGGGACTTTTAGCAACAGACTACACCTTCATGCGGCGCTATTTCCTCACATGAAACAAAAAGCCTGACCGAGACTGAGATCACGGCCCACAGACTGAGGGCAGCTTGGCAGAGCGGCTCCCAGGCTGCCCTGGCCCACATTCTGTCCTGCTTCCTCTTGGTGTTCATGGCTCAGCTTCACTTAAATTGCATAAAATCAGATTCTAATGTCACATAACCTTGATCCATACATGATCACTTCCCTTTACATTTCGGAGCCTAGTAAATATTTCTGAAATGTTTAGACTAGTATGCAATGAAAAACTAACATTATACAAACCACAAAGTCTGTTCACTTCTTGAGGTCAATGAATTAGGTCTAATTTGCTCCTTTGATTAATAAAGGTGACAATATAAAGCTTTAATTTAACTGAAATTAAAAAGTACAAAATTTAACACAATCACAGCTTTACTTACATCAACATGAACATGCATGCATCACTTCCAATTGTTCTTTTTGATACTTCAGGATCAGTAATGTCAGCAACCTACATAAATAGCAGCACAATGGATAGAATGTAAACGAGACTGCCTGAAATTCTATCATTGGCTCAACTTTTAAGGGTTACAATGAAACTATGTACAGTGCATAAAGCTTGTCAAACTGGATATGGTCTTAGGCCATTACTACTGTTACAGTCCAATTTGGATTTTAATACAACCAACTTATAGATCTGAAATAAAAGCACTGCTTAATGGTTTCAGATGCATTTTGGTGTTTAATATGTTTCAAGGCATCTTTACAAATAATAAATTATGACTATGACAAGGAGAACCTGTGAATAAAGCTTCTTACATGGACATAGCATGGCGACTGCAAGTGCTGTCAGAGACAATCCCATGAATCAAAAGTCATAACCACATCTGGATTTTAATCTTTAGAACAAGCAAAACTAAGTAGCACACACGAGTATTTTAATATAACCTTAATGGTCTAACAAACCTTCCAAACGGAAGGAAATATAATAAAATAAAGTCAACCTATCAAATGTAACTTACAGTGATGGGCTTCAGGACGGCAGAAATCCCAGGCCACCTGCCAACTACCTGCAGAACCACCTGCTGCCGAACGCGCTGACTGCAGACGAACCACCTGCTGCCGAAGTGCCTGACCCCAGGCGGCTGCCCCACAGGTGCGCACGCGGAGCTTTGGGACCCTACGGCTTTACTGGCGCCTTCGTTACGCGCTTTATACTGGCATTTCACAGACTCGCTCCTTGTAGTGAATTTGAGCGTAATCAACTTCCACAGAGAAGCACGCACCTAAACCAAATTAAGAATACTGAATCTTCCACGCATGGTCTCAAATAGGAGTATTTTGTTTAGTATAATGAAAAGTTAATTTTTTTTTTTTTTTTTTTTTTTTTTTTGCGGTACGCGGGCCTCTCACTGTTGTGGCCTCTCCCGTTGCAGAGCACAGGCTCCGGAAGCGCAGGTGCAGCAGCCATGGCTCACGGGCCCAGCCGCTCCGCGGCACGTGGGATCTTCCCGGACCGGGGCACGAACCCGTGTCCCCTGCATCGGCAGGTGGACTCCCAACCACTGCGCCACAAGGGAAGCCCAACAGTTAATTTTTTTAATATCTGTAATCTTTTTGGAACACAGGCACCAACAGGGAGCAGACATTCCAGCAAAGAGAGATTGTCCAGGATAAAAAAAAAAAGAACTGATCAGAGTCCTTTGTCCCTTTGCCGATTAGAATACTTCCTTCTTTCATCGCCTAGGCAACATCTTCCAGATAATCCGCAACGTCACTGAGCTGGGACACAGTCAGGTCCTGTGTCAGGTCATCAAGCTTCGTTGTTCAAAAGAAAGAAAAGAACTAGTGTCAGGATGCAAGCAGAGTCTTAAACAATGTTTAACATCTACGCTGTAGCTTAAGCGCCGTCTTATGCTCTACAAACTGCTGCACAGGCAGAAGTCCTCGCCCTCACTTTCTTCTTCCTTTTCTGAGATTTTTTTGAAAGCTGAGCTAACAGTTGAACTCTACACGAACAAGAAGACTGGCTGTTAAAATAACCCATCTGTAGCTCTTTTCGTAACTTTAAAGCAACATTTTCAGGCCTCTTTAGGATGACATAAGGTAAAAAGAGAAAGACAAATTATTACAAACTTATACCGTCTCAGGAATTAGAGAAGGCACGTTATGTATTATCACTTAACCTTCAGAACAAGCCTGTGAGGGAGGCACTGACGCCTCCTCTCACGAATAAAGAAACTGAGGATTAAAGGTTGCAGCTAGCCTGAGAAAGCACATACATAAAAGAATAGGAACGCGGGCCCAGATTCATTATAAAATGCTGCTTCTCTCAAAGGCCTTCTCCCTACATGATAGTCCTTGACAGTCACAAGCACTTGGAGAGTCCTTCCTCATTCTGGAAAGCAAGGTTCACCTCCAGGCTGTAGCGACCTACAACCTCAAAGGCAGACTCACCCCCAGTTTACCGTGGGCACTGATATCTGATCCTGAGATGCTCCCTTACATCTCAGATCTATCATACACCTAGGTATCTGCTCTCTGCCTAAGCAAAGGTCAAATGTGACTCCAAAACGCACGCCTAATTTCACACCCTGACTCCCCGTTTCTGCTGTCTTGTCTCCCTGCCTGCTCAGAACACTCCACACCCCAGTCTCTGCTTCAGCTCCTGCGTTCACAGGGCTCTTATATACACACAAACCTTCGATACTGACGTCTCTTAAAAGGACCTCCTGCCTGCAGTGTCTACACCCTGAGGTGGTCGATTCTGACTCTCATCCTGACCCACCATGGCCCAGTTACACCCACAGCAATTGAAGCCCCAGTAATAACACGCCAGCATTTCACAAGCACTCGGTTAACAAAGCAGGCGGCAACTGAAAACAATTTTACACGTTCATTACAGACGTTCTTTTTAGATTTGGACCAGGAAACTCCATCGTAAACTTTACGGAACTGCTTTCCTCCTCGTTGGTATAATTTTTTTTTTTTTATTGGCGTATAATTGCTTCACAACGTTGTGTTAGTTTCTGCCTCACAGCAAAGTGAATCAGCCCTACGCGTACACACATCCCTCCCCCTTAGACCTCCCTCCCCGCCGCCCACCCCACCCATCTAGGCCATCGCAGAGCACCGAGCTGAGCTCCCCGTGCTATACAGCAGGTTCCCACTAGCTATCTGTTTTACACATGCTAGTGTATTTACGTCAAACCTAATCTCCCAGTTCATCCCACCCTCCCCCCTTCCCCTCCTGTGTCCCACATCTGTTCTCTAAGTCTGCCTTTCTAATCCTGCCCTGCAAAAAGTATAAAGTTTTGAAGCTTTACAGTAACTCAAGGCAACAGGCACAGATAGCACTCCATGGGAGAAGCACAACATCATACTTTATCACTGGTATTGACGTCATCTATTTCCACAGAGAGGTCTTCCTCGATCTCTTCACCAATACTTAGCTCACTTTTTTCTGAGCGATGGCTGGTACTAATTTCAGGGGGAAAAAAAAAGAAAAATAAGAACTTTGAATATAAACATTTAGAGAGAGTAACTAGCATTCTTCAATCTTTCATGTAATTATTTTAATTCTTTAAATAAAATAGAATAAACTATTACACATCATTAATTCCATACATCTCATCTCACTGGAGCCTTAAAATAACTCAGCAAAGGCACAGAAACAGTCCAGTCCATTTACCAGATGAGAGCACTAAGCTTCATACTAGTGACTATGGTCACCATGGCATGAAAGAAGCAAACCCAGATTTTAAAAATTTCACCTCTCAAAAAACTGTATGTTAGGAAGTAAACACAAATTCTAAATTGGGGGAAAAAAACTATCAGTTACATAAAATTCTCAAACTCTGATTTAAAATTTCTAATCATATCTACAACAAATATTACTTCCAAATTAATTATTAGCCAAGTCATAGGTTATATTTTCTTTACATATATAAAAAAATCACCTAAAACAAAATATTAAGAAATGTCACGTGAATCAGAAAAACCACTTGAGGGGGCAATTTGTTTAAGCCGAATGTAGACAATTCCCCCCACTGAGATCAGAAAGGGGAGAACGAAAGCACTGACAATCCAGTGGCCTAACTGCTTCTGCTGGCTTCTGAGTCGATCCTTCAATGTTACTTCCTTTTCTTATTCTTATCAAGTTCCCCGCACATAATACAGATGTTCTTATTCTAATGTAAAATCAAAAACACGCTTCAAAGTCCAATGTATAATTCTGGATTAACTATCTTTCATTCACCTTCAATCAATATGAGCAAGAGAATCAAAGACTAAAATAAGCACCAACGTAATTCTGTCATACTTTCCTGTTCAGAAACTGTTTACAACTTATGTGTTTCTTGTCCAACCATTTTTCTTACCTATTAAAATCGTCAACATAGTCATCTTCCTCTCCAGTCCCTGGTAAGTTTAAGAAAAGACATATGTGTTATATTTATAGAAACACACCTCACAATTTACCTACAACTAGACACACATTCCCTTCAAAAACTACACTACTGAATTATATGGCATCACCAAAAAGAACAGCTGGGCTGCAGTTTGGATTTGGGGGAAACTAACCACCCACTCCCCCACCTTCCTCCGGCTTCTGTAGCCAATTCAAGGACAAAATAGTCACTGAAGAGTGGGCTGGAGCCTAACATTAGCCTCTGACTTCCTGGTCACACATACAAGCCTGTCCTGCAAGCCAAATCCGCCCACAACCTGTTTTTCTACAGCCTGCAAGTTAGGAATGGCTTTTACATTTTTTCAATGATTGTAAAAATACAAAGAATACTCAGAGACTACGTGTGGCCCACAAAGCCTAAAATACCCATTCTGTCCCTTTACAGGAAGAGTTTGCCGACTCGTGCTTTACACATGTGAAGCACCTGTCTGTGAACATGAGTGCCTTTGACTAATATTTTTGTCTCCCAAACTAAACTGTGCTCTAAAGCCTTATTCCAGAAGCGTCAAGGTTCTGAAGGCGGTACGGTGCCCACAAGTGGCCCAGGGCACTCGGAGGCTTCTCCTGCTGCAGGAGTACCGCTCCCGCTGCTGCTCCAGGCCACAGGACGGGGCACAACACCCCAGAGTTCCTGTTACACGTCCATCCCCATCAGACTGACTCCCTGGGGCCCGGACCACGTTCCGCCAGCCCCAGGGAAGCGCCTCTGCCTCGGCACGCACTGTGCTCGCGGTCCGAACGGCAGGCTCTCCCCTCTGCCTGCCCCAGCAGGTCTCGCAGAGCGGTCACTTCCTGGGAGAGGCTCCCCCATCGCCAAGGCTAGGCTAAGTCAAACTACTCCCCACTTCCGTAAGGCTGCGGCCTGACTCTTCTAACACTCAAAGTACCCGTAAGGCACCTGTTTGACACCCATCTTCCTGCTAGGTTTAAACCCCACAAGGACAGAATCCGCTGTGGTTACTACTCCCTCCACCCCTGGCCGACACAGTAACCCTGGATACATAAAAACCGTCCAACCATCTGTGCATGAGGTGCTCACGGTAGGCTGACTGACACTTCATTTAAGATTTTATTCTAAAAAATAATCGCCTTAGGGCTTCCCTGGTGGCGCAGTGGTTGAGAGTCCGCCTGCCGATGCAGGGGACACGGGTTCGTGCCCCAGTCCGGGAGGATCCCACGTGCGGCGGAGCGGCTGGGCCCATGAGCCATGGCCGCTTGAGCCTGCGCGTCCGGAGCCTGTGCGCCGCGACGGGAGAGGCCACAACAGTGAGAGGCCCGTGTACCGCAAAAAATCATAATAATAATCGCCTTAAAGCAGTCCATACTGCAACTGGAAATCTACTGACCTAAACCAAGTGATCCGATTTTATCATTGACCAATTTAAGATCTTTCAGAATTGTGTTTCCCCTTTTACCTGTGAACAGGAAAAAACAGTCACATTAAATTGACTTTTAGAATATAATAGTCTCTAAACCACGTCAACTTTTTTCTGCAGCACAGGGCTTGTTGATACATCATAACCAAAAACTGAGAAGAAAATTACAAACTGTGATTAATTACACTGCATTATGCATTATTATGCGTTACACAATATAATACGCTTACACTATGTATCACACATCCCTTTTTTAACCACACTATTACATATCCTTTTTGTAGCCATACTACTTTTTATTGGAACCTGACCATCAAAATCATTTTCTACCCAACTATCAGATATCAGCCTTCTATAAGAAGCCCTACTGGGTATGAATTCACGGACTACAGTTAATTATTCTCATCAGTTTTATTTTTCCTTTGAACTTCTAAATTTTGCTTCAATTTAATCGCTATTTCATTTACCAAACTTATCTCCTCATTGGTTTTTATTTCTTCAGTGCCCAGTTCTCAAGGCCCTCTCTAAATCATTATTTCCTAGTCAGTATTAAGAGTGACATGATCACGACACTCTGGATTCCTTCACTGAAGGTGACAATACCATGGGAAAGGAGAAGAAGAGGGAAACTGGGCCGAATTAACAGACTCATGGCTAGTTTACTTTATGTGCCCCAAGAAATCCTACTACAGTGGTATCACATAACACAAAATGGTTAGTAAGTACTACAAGATTATGCAAAACCCCACAGCAATTTCCTAATAAAGATCTACTCAAAGAGGCACAGTTATACTCTAAACACTCTGCCAATTAAATCCTATATTTACTATGATATAGTGTACAAAGCTCATCTGCATGATTACATGTTTAAGGCTTTGCTTTTTAAATCCTTGGTCTTGTCACCATCTGTGTGCAGTAGGAGAGCCATTCCATGTCTAGCTAACAATCCCTACCTCTGCTGCATATAAAAAGATACAGCTGATCCAAATCCCTAAAGGGAGAATAGTATTTTAACATTCTTACAATGATTACCGCGGTATCTACAGAATCTGTGAAACAAACTTTTAAAAATTAATTGTAAGTAAATCCTACATAAGTCAATTTAAATGTCCAAAAAAGAGAGATGGCTTAAAAATTATGTCTATTTATTATAGAAGATGGTTAAAAAGTCAATTTCCTAAAAACGTTTCCATGGCATAGGAAAAGCAGAATACAAAACAATATAGAGAATATGACCATGCCCAAAAGAAATTTTAAAAATAAAATATTAACAAAATATCACTGAGTAGTAAAATTATGGGCTATTTTTATGATTTTACATATATTTTCCTGAAAAAACAATGATCATACACTGCTTAATTAATGAGAGAGAAACCTCATCAGCGTTCGAAGCCCACGTCTTCAGTCAGCAAACCTAGGGACTCCCAGACACTCACTTTCAGAGTCTTTCAGTGAGGGAGCTCCAGTAAGGGAGCTGAGTCCACCTTTTAGGGGGGGGGCGTCCGAGAGCGATGCAAGGCTTCCTACTTGCTTACTAGTTTCACTTCTCCTAGCAAGAAACAAGTGCACAGTTAAATGGGATTCTTACATTCTGCCATTAAAACACAAGCAGCTTGAATATATCTTGTAGGCAACACAGGAGCTGGGAAATAAAGAATACACATTTCACAGATTCAAAATCATGAAGTACACCTGGCAAGGCAAAACAGACTAAGAATCACTGCAGATTCGCGCGGGAAGTTCTCCCTCTCTAGAACTGCGTGTGATGTCTCACAAATTAAACCGCTCCACTTCACGGGCTTCACTGTCGGGGATTTTATCGGAAGCCCCTTCCGTGGCCCAGAGATGCAGGCGAGGGACAGCGCAGAAGCTGACGAGCTCAGCACGACAGCCCAGACGTGCCCCGGAGAGCGGGCCGCAAACGACGCCACCAGCTGACCTCCACACACAGCCCTGACCGCCAGCCTGCTGCGGACGCGGGGCAGTGCCCAGCAGCCCGCAGGCTCGCCCTCCGGCCCGGCGCCCTCTCACCTCCTCCGGCGCCGGCACGGAGGTGCAGCATTCCAGGAATTCCCCTCTCCCGCTCTTACTTCGTTCATCTTTCCTCTTTAAAAGCGGATCATTCTCATCAACACACGTACGTGCTACTGTTCTTCGTAGTTTAACATTTCTAGCCCCATGCCCGCTCTCCAGCCACCGCGCATCCCTCTGCACCCTGTACAGGAAAACTCATCAGGAAATCATTCTGCCACATACAGTCCTCTCGCCTCAGGCTTTCCTGAACCCACGCTAACCCTTTAACACTGCCCCAGGGCCGCCCGCGAGGGGCATCGGGGCTAAGTGCAAAGGGCGACTTTCAGCAGAACTTAACTCAGCTGCTCACTTGGGCCTCCTCCTCCAAGGACACCTCTCCCTCCGGTTCTCTGGGTCCCCTTCCCGCTGCAGTGCCCCTTCCTTGGTGACCTCTTCCAGTCTCCCAGCTGTGACCTCAGCCAAGACTGATGACTCCCTAATTGTCACCTCTAGCCCAGACCTCTCCCTGAATGCCCACACCCACACCCGAAAACAGGCTTCACCTTTCCACTGACAACCTTCTCAAACTCGCTGGTCGAGAGTGAGCTCTGGACCGCCGCGCGGCTCACCTGCGCGATCCAGCCTCGCTCCCCCTGCTCTTCACCTCGATCAGTTGGAAAAACTCCTAGTTACTCAGCCTGGGAAGAACCCTGGAGCTGCCCTTGATATTGCTTTTCCTCTCGCACACTTACCAGCAAATCCTTTTGGATCCAAACTCAAAATACATCCCCTACCGCCTATTGCTCACCACTTCCGCCATCACCCCTCACCTGGAAAACCCTAAGAGCTTCCCGCCTGGAGACCCAGCATCCAGGGGGCCCTGTCACTGCGCAAGTGGGAGCAGTCACGCTGCTGCTCACAGCCCGGGGCTTCCGGGCCCCTCGGGTTCAGGCCAAGCCCTGCGGTGGCCCCGGCCCCTGGCCCGACTCCACCTCCTGCAAGCTCCTCGGACCCGCCGCACCACTCACCTCCGCCTGTGCAGGGCTCCGGAAGCCCAGCTCAACGCCTGGCCTGCTCTCCCCTCCGTAAGCTCGCCCTTGAGGTGGGGCCTTCTCCGACAGCTACTGAGCGCCGGCCGCCCTCCATACCCACACTCCCGCCCTCCGCCGTTCCGCTCTCTCAGTTCCTGTAACACGGGCGGCATCTACGCGACACAGCACCTGGGGACTCCTAACTTGTTGCTGCTGCCGTCCAGAGTATGAGCTCCCGGAAGCAGAGATTTTGCCTGTTCCATCACTGTTGCACCTGTACCTGAAACGGTACCTGGCATACAGCAGGCACTCAGTACAAACCTACCTGCTGAAATCATTAACATCTAGGTCCTTCAAAACTTGGAATTGTTTGACAACATAAAAGGCTTTAATGACACAAAATCAGACTTACAAATTCGCTAATTACAGAACCATTGGTAGCTCATTATTTCTTAAACATAAAACATTTAGAAATTCTATTTTTAAGCCGCTAGTCTGATAATATAAAAGCACAGGTTACTCACCAACCATAGGTTTTTTCTGGTTTAGGAATGGGATCATCAAAGAAAGAATCTCCTTCCATATCATCTTCATCTGGACAAGGACCAGCTTTGTCTTTGACATCTAGACTTTTGTTGCTTAACAAGGCTCCAATTTTTGTTTCATGGGCCAGCAAGTGAAGACTACTTTTGCTCTTTGGTTCTGATGATGAGATACTGGTATCACTCTGACTAGCATCATTGTTGGCCTTCTAGAAAAAGAGAGGGAAAGAGAAAAGGTCTCCTTGGCGAAATAAAACTTTAATAAGACATCTTAAATAATAAAAAAAAATCACGTGAACATACGCAATTCTGTGTATGCACGCGCATACACACGTGGGGTCTTGCAACTGCATGAGGTGCAGTGGGACCCCCCCCTGGACCTACCAGTTCATCCCCAGGCTTCAGAGCATAACTAACTTTTGAAGGGGAAAAACGTCAAACATGTTTGTACCATTCCTCTCCTCCCTCCCTAAATGGAAATACCTTTACCTAGCCCATTTATACACAAACTTTCCCATTTCCTCTTACATATATATCACTGCTTCATAAATTACCTTAATATGTTTTCAACTCGCAAATAAAAAGCATTACTAATAAAGGATATAAGGAAGATTAGTTCATTATCATTAGTTCATCACATAAATGAACCAAGCATTAAAACAAAGTGGTCGTCAATAAAACTAGTTTTCCATCCAGTGCCAAATACAGTGGACATCAAGGTGAAAGATGCCGCCTTTACCGTTCACATTTCTAAAGTAAAGTTTTGCTAGTTTTATCACTGGTCTTTAGACTTGCAGAGTAACTCCCCATTCCACACCTCCCTTCAACGTCCATCGATGCATGTACTGATGTATATGTTTCTATATATCTGAAACCAACATACAAAATTCTCAAGCATTTTTACTCCTGTCCTACTGATCTGGTGATGTTAGCAGAAAATATACTGCACACTGTATTTTCTTGTTTTCAGGTAGCCCTAACCCTCACAACCTAATTTTATTCTATCCTTGGTCAGATTTCTTTTTGTCTTTAGACACTTCTATGTCAACAACATAAAAATAATAACAACAAAACCAAAATATCATGATAGCAATAATAAAAGTAGCTAACATTTATGGAAAGTCTTCAAATGCTTCCCATGTGTTACCTCATTTTAATCCTCAAAATAACCTTATGGTGTGTGGGGCAGGTTCTGTTTTCTCTGCAGAAATGGAAAAGGAGATGTAGAGACACTGCAGTCACTTGTCAAGCCAGGGAGTAAAGGCGTCGGATATCAAAGCCTGATTCCAGAGGTTAGCTCTAAAGGCTTATGCTCTGCTATTAGGTTGAGTCATATGAAACTGTAGTTTTTAGGGGTTAAAAATGACAGTTTCCCAAGATTCAGCCTTCACACTACAGAGAGCAGTGCTGCCTAAGATGCCGCAGCGTGTGAGATGAGCGCTCTCCTGAAACACGGAATGTGTAATGTAGTCCATACTCGGCTACTAACTATATGATTTTAAGGAATTTAATGTTCTCAGGCATGAATTTCCTCAAGAATTGAACCACAGTAGTCTTTTCCAAGTCAAATGATTACCAGGAGGTAAGAAAAAAGGGATGGGCAGCTGGGGAAAAGTGGTAATAATGCGGGTTAGAAATTACTCAAGGAGACACTAAGGATGACTGCACTTTCAATCTGTGTATAGACAGGAGGTACTATGCAGTAAGATATACACTTAATAGTTTTACACTAATTAGAGGCCATGATTAGTTGACAGAAGGTAAGATATATGCTATACAATTTTTAAGGCCTTGTATAGAGCTATACATTCCATATGTTATTAATACAGATACATCAATGGTTGTAAAAAGAGGTGTCTGGAGAAATAAATACCAAGTTATCACCCTTTTAGACAACATAGGATATTTTCAAAGAAGCAGACACATTTTCAAATTTCCCAATAACTTTCTTGAAGTTTTCCTATTATTATCAATTATAGAGAAGCACCATCCACCTATGTATTTCTTAAGTATATTCATGCCCGTTATAATTTCTGATTTGTAAATATTTTAAAAATTGATTTATATCTTTTCAAAGGAATATGCATTTGGAAATAAATACCCTGCATTCTTGTGCTGTTTAAACACATTTACGATTACAGACACTGAGACAGTGAAAGACTGTCTCCTTCAAAACATCCGTGAGAAAATTCAAAAGGACACCTGACATGAAACGGACAAATGCAAATGTAAAGCACATCACAGGAAACAATCATTATTCCAACAAAGTCTCTCCTCCCCATGAATTCACAGCAACGTAATTTAAGTCCATATAATGAACTATCTGAACTTAATAACCAATACAGACCCCTGATTATTTTTGACAGGTTTTAGTCTTGCTATGGAACAAAGGACTAGTTTCAGGAAGACAAGTTTCATGGAGTAGCACATTACGATGTTCAACACAGTACGTATCTTTTAAAATAATAATTTGTTTTAAAATTATAGCTCCACTTATCTATGGAGTAAACTTTAAAAACACGCAATCTGCTTTGGAAGCGCTGTCAAAATCGATTTCTAAATCACATAGGAATGTGTCATCACTTCGTAACCATGGCTCATTTTTTATCAAAAAGCCCATTACCTAACCGGGTTAGTAATGAATTCACTAAACTTAATTCCGAATATTTTTTACTATTAAAAAAAAAATCCACACTAAGAGGAGAAGCGTTTATCAAAACATTCTGTAGATTGAAACAAAAGTACTGCAAAACTTTAAGAGCAATTTTCCAGGGAGGAAGTCCAAATTTTTTGAGCAACAACAGATCAACTCACGACGCATATACCCTGGGATCTATTTATTTTTTTATTTTTTAGATTTTTAAATGGTAAGTTTAATAATGGAGATACACATGGGCTACAGAGAGACACCAAATACAAACTTAAAAAAAAGAAAGCTTTAAAATGTCTTCTTGGAGGTAAAGATGTCTAAGCTGAGTTTTAAAAATAAACAGAACTTTGAAGACAGGAGTGAAGGACAGGGTATTCTAGGCAGTGGATTAGCTAGAGTAAAGGCACAAGACTGAGAAACAACGGATATGCACCCAGAAACACAGAGAGCTCAGAATTGCTAAAGTGTGAAGTCAAAGCGAGGCTCAGCAGAATAAAGCAAGACAAGGTCCCAGATCACAGAGATATTTCACGGAGGAGTCATGTTTGCATATTAGAAAGATCACGTGACTACGTAAAAAACAAACTGGAAGAGCCAAGACCCTTAAAAGAGGAGAACAGTTAGGAGGCTGTTTGAGTAAAACTCCAAAAAAAAAGGTACAAGGGATTTAACTAGAGCTGTAGAAGCAGCTGGATGCTGTGTGTAAATCCCAACTCTTCTATGTAACTTTACACAAGGCCCTGATCTCCCTATGCTTCCATTTCTTTATCTGTAAAGCTGGCATAATAATGCTGACAAGAATGACACAATATCACTCCATTTTGCCTATGAGGAAACTGACAGCTAGAATAAGGATTAATTAGACGGGACCGTTCAGACAAGTACATACAAGTTAAGTTAGCAGGACTTGGTAATGGATTTAATATGGGAACTGCGAGAGGAGTGAGATTTAAGAACGGCTCCCTGTTTCAGTTTTGGAGACTGTCCACTGATACTGAGAGCACAGGAAGAAGAACTGGTCTGGTGAAAATAAGGTCTATTTCTTATAACTGAAATTGAAATAGACTGGGATCTGTTTAAAACACTTTTATCATGGCTTAAGACAAGTCTCGTACACAAACTTCAGTTACTTAAGTCTCTATCACCTAGATGTGGACAAATTAAGACTCAGGATAAATCTAAACAGCTAAGATTAAGAATTGTTTAAAAGAAAGAAATGCAACCAAAAAAAAAAAAATTCCTATGACAATGCCTTAGAATTCATTCCCTGGACAACCTCAGAAGCCTTGGAGGTTATTATGGGTTAAACTGCATCCCCCCAAAAGGAAGTTGAAGTCCTAACACCCAGTACTTCAGAATGTGCAGTCATTTACAAGTAGGGTCACTACAGATGTAACCAGTTAAGGGGAGGGCACAGTGGAGGCGGGCAGGCCCCTAACTCAATACGCCTGGTGTCCCAACAAGAGAGGACAGGCACACACAGGGAGAAAGCCCCGTCAACATGATGGCAGAGATTGGAGCGATGTGTCTACAAGCCAAGGAGCACCAAGGACTGCTGCGAGCTGCGAGAAGCCGGGAGGGAGGCCGGGAACACTAGTCCCAGCCTCAGGAGGAGGCAATCCCGCAGACACCTTGATCTCAGACTTCCAGCCTCCAGAGCCGTGAGACAGTAAACTTCCGCTGTTTCGAGCTACCAACTTTGTGGTGCTTTGTTACAGCTGCCCTAGGAACTAAGGGGTAATTATAATAAAACATAACAAAGTCCTGTCTTTCCAGATCAGGAGGCCTACTGCACAGCACTACAGCAGCCACTTACTCCCTTGGATGGACCCCAGGGCTAATAAGCTTTATGGTAAATTACAGCCAAACTGTAAGGAAGTTCTGGTGTGTGTTTAATTTTCTACTAGTATACTTACACATTCAAGATTTCAATCATTTCTAGATTAACAGCAAATCAGCGTCATAAAGAAGTTTCACAGAGAAATAACTACCAATTTTCCAGTAGCCAAAAACTGAATTATCAGTAGCATGTCTTAAAAACCTGGAAAAAATAATTTTGTTTTTCTAAACTAAAGGCTTAATCTGCACTGTTCATAACAGAGGAACAGCAAAACCAAAGAAACATCCCCGTTTTGCAAAAGTATTCAAAAATACTTGTGCAATTCTAATTCTCTCAGCCTGCAGCTCCCCGCCCCGACTCCGCCAAAGACAGTTTGTGACCCATGACTTACTAATGAATTCTTTAGAAAAGTAGTTTTACTACCATTGTATATGTGTGTAAAACACACATATATTTAAAGGTTTAATTTACTTATCTAGAAAGTAAACACTGTGGAATTTGAAAACCACAAAACAGACATACAAGCCCCTCTTTCTAAAAACTCAGTTTTTCTAAAGAAAGGCTATCCCTATGCCGTATAAACAATCTGTAATTCCCACAGATGCACATGAGAACCAATGTCTGGCTGTGAAATCGGCCTGAAGATTACCCTCTGTCCAGCGGCTCTGCTCTCTTACCCTGTGCAGCCAGCTCGCAGGTTCAGCGGACAAGAAGTCTGGGATCTGAAGCAGAAGGCCTGGCACAATTATGGGTTATGGGCCAAGTGCTGGCATCTTGTTCACCCACATGCATTCCTTCATTGAGGGGGTGGTGTGTGTGTGTGTGTGTGTGTGTGCGTGCGTGTGTGTGTGTGTGTGTGCGTGTGTGTACAGAATAATACTGTTTTATTCATCTAGAAAACCCTAAGGTGAGACTATACTTTCGGGGATCATTTCTACAGCTCGAAAACCCGAAGGCAACCGCAAAAGATGCGGAAACACACGCTCCCAAACGTACACAACACGTGATCCCCATCAATGCCCTAAATCAACATAAAGCTGGGCTTATCCCAGAATTTTGAAAACAAGGAACAAATTTAGAAATGTCATTTATTAAGAACTTGAAGCAAAAAAACAACCTCAACACAAATCAGTTTTAAAACACCTAACAATCGATTATGAAAAGAAAGGACAACCTTCCATGCCGCACCTCATGTGATGACTAAAACAGCTTCGTGTTAAAGACAAATGAAAACGTCAAATACCTTACTTAGTTTTTTCAACTGAATGGTAAAAACCTTAGTGGGGCCTACCAAAAGTCTGTTGTAATAAATAAAATGCATTTTTTTTCTCAGACAACTAGCACCGTGCTTGGTACAACAAAATGGTCCACACCAAAATAGATTATTACGGATGATACTTTGGAAGTGTTAATGCACATTTAAAATGTTTAACTCGTTAAAGAAATGCCCTCCCATCTAATATTTATGCATCTTGTATTCTAACTCTTCTAGCATCCTTTATTGTCCTACAACAATAACAAAAAGAAACGTAACTTTTATTTTTACTCAAATTAAATTAGTTCAAAACCCTTAGATTTTGCTTTGCATATTAACGGGCTTACAATACTAAGTACAAACCAGTTAAACATGTAACTGATTTTTTAAAGTTTATTTCTGATATGGATATAGCTTCTCTGAAAACAGCCAGAAGTCTCTGAATGAGCAGTTAATACTTGTGCCTTCCCACAGGCAAAAGAAACAGTAAGACACAGACACTTCCTACTGGGCGCCCTGGGCTACCACTCCCAGCTCTGCCCACCCGAAGGTGCCACTACCTACCCTGGGAACGGCTCCCCCTGGAGCCTGGCTGTGGACAACCCCCATGACCAGATGCACCTCAGGATTTGGATTATTAAGATGTTAAGAAAGTTAGGATACTAAGGGTACTGGGACCCTGCTGCACGCACAGGGCAAAAGGTGAAGGCAGAGGGAGGGAGAGCTAACGGCTCCTCTGCTGGGCTGGAAACAGGCAACGCTGGGTACAACACGGACTTCTTATAGACGCAATTTGGAAACAAGGACAGGGAAATAGAACGGAAAAGGTTTCCAAGTTGCTGAGGAAGTGTTTTGGGCTCAGGAATATAATCGTGAAATAAAAGGGGCCCGACGTGCAGCCTGCAGCTCCAGAATAAGGCCTGTGCAGCCTCTTCAGTCACCCGCAGAGCACGTGAGAGGGAGGCGCAGAGGGAGGGCGATGTCTGCGCCCTCCCCGCTGCGTCCAGCACACAAAGTGAAATGTGTCTCCTAGTGGCTTTGGTTCTACGTATCAACTTCTTTCAAATGTTTTAACTTCTTTAAAACTCATGACACCAACAAGACTTTTAAAATTTAATATTACGAAATATACTTTAAAATAGTACAAGAAACTGACTTAAAACATCTATAAAAAAACATGCTAGTTTATATGCTTAATTATTTTTCTTAAGGTCTGTCTCACGTCTCCAATTTGACCATAAACTGCTTAAGTGAGGACCCATGTTAAATCTGTCTTGCCCCCAGCACTTAACAAAGACTTTCACTATGTAAATGTTCAAACATACTCGAATACATTTAAAAACGTCTTCTCATGTAGTAGTGCATAAAGAATAGTGTGAACAAATATAGTAACAGGAACTTACCATTGAAACCACTAGAACTAAAGCCAGCTAACACAGCAAATACAATTTTTCAAAAGCCTTTAATTTTGGAAGCCCTCAACTTAGTGAAAAAATCTACACATAAACCTACAGGCTCAACAAGGACTAGTGATATTCTCACAATTGAACGTTAAATAACTTGATCTTATTCTAAATAAGTGTAAGAACTATACAGATAATTAATGCTTCTGAGAACTCCAATACTTAAATTTTATAAGCAGCTCATCTACTAGCTTAGTCGAATTCTCAGATCTTTTGGGAAGGAGAAAAAGCAGCCAAGGCGGTGACACAGCGGCGCCCCCATGAGTCTGCTGTGGGGCAGCGCTCAGAAAGGCTAATACGTGCAGGGGCTGACGAGCTGCTCAACACAAACAGAAGTGTCTTGAAGGAAACCAGGGCTGGCCTTTACTCATCGACTGGAACTTATCCAAAAAGTAGTCTGATGTTCTAGTTACCTCAGATAAAAATCATAATGTTAAGAATACATAGGTGACCATCCATTCAAGAGGAAAGTAAGTATCTTCAACTTGTTTTTGTTGCCAAAAAAACAAGGAATTCTCAAAGCAAAACCGAGAGCAGAGTTTTAAAATACAGCACTATGATTTTCACCTGGATAAAAACTGAAGTCAGACTACTTTTTCTTTTACGTCACCATGACTTTGGCATGTTCTGATCACAGATAAAAGAAAGTGACATTTCGAAGGAAAACGTAACCCTAGGCCAGTGGGAACTCAGCGCCCGAGGAGGCCCGCGTGAGGCCGGTGGTCGGCCCGGCCCAGGCCGCTCTCCTCCTCGGCCGCCCCGCGTTACCTTGGCACCAGACTTCCGCCTGCTTGGCTTCTTCTTACCTTGTCCTTTATACCTTGGTATCTGAGCATGAGAATAAAATGACATTTTACCACAAAGTATAAATCTTTAAAAATAAACTAATTCATACCAAACCAATACAGATTCCTATTAGAAAATTTCTTAAAAATGGAAAATCTAACTAATATGCTTCATTTTGAAATCCACTGTTTTAGTCTCTTCTTCACACTCTTCCTAAAGTGGTTCAGCTCACGTTTAATTTCTCCCTCCGACAGTCACGGGGTTCAACGTAGGGACCAGAGCCCCTGCTCAGCTCCCGTGGGTGGGGACTCACTCCTGTCCTGCTCCGTCCAGCAGCGCGCTAAGAAAGCCAGCCTGCACGCCTCGGCAGCTTCCTCTGGGGCCCGCCCTGGCCTCACCTCTCCTTCCCCGGGAGGACACAAAGCGCGCTTCTAAGGGCCGGGCTGGACCCTGTGCTTGGCCCCAACTTCCCGGAACTCTTAGTGCTCTCCAGACCAATGAGGCGCCCTGTAGGCCCTTCGTAGAGCCCCCAAACCACTCAAAGACCTCAGAGAGAGAAGAAAGCGGGCAAGAAAAGGGTGGGGCAAGGGCTGGAATCCCAAATCCAGACCCTGTAGGATGACAGGGGAACTGCGGTCTAACTGCCAAAAGAATGCCTTGTCTTAAAACAGACCCCATCCAGCCCCACTAGAGACGGGCCACGGTGATCGGAAGGGCTCACTGCGCCCGCGGGCCGATGACGCGACTGAGAGCCCAGGCAAGGCTGAAAACCATCGGAAGGTGGCAGAAGCAGGGACCACCTGGAGACACCTTAAAAATTACCATCACTTCTCTGTATTTAGAGCAACATTTCCTGACTTAAAACTTAAGATTCTCTTGATAATTCTCATGATAGAGCTTAAAACTCTTTTTATGTAGAGAGCATACGGATATGTAAAACAGACATTAACATTTTATCTTGAAGACACACAATATGTGGAAAATTAGTACTGCCAATATGCTTTAGAAAATAATATGCTAAAAAGAGAACTTCCAAATAACTCAATACTATAGGTATTAATACGTATTTTGGAATATGGTTAATTTTAATCCCTCTAAAGCCAGATATTTTCACAGAAAGCAAACCTTTCTTTTTACTAAGGCTCTTATATCTGGCACTTAATTTGAAGTGAATTTTAGATTCACTCACGACCTCGTTCTCCCTGTACAGCAGGTTCCAGCCTCCAATGAGCATCACGGGAAAATGCTTCCACGACCAACCGACCCTATTAGAAAAGGCTAACTAGGCCTCGGGAAAAAGAACAGCTACCAGCAGCGTGAGAGCCTCGTTCCCAAGGCACAGCATTCCTCTGATTTCTAAATCTAAAAAATAAAAAGGAGCAACAAAATCAAAGAACCAGCAATAAACAGCAACAGGAACCATTCACTGGTGTCTACGCCCAGGCATCTGGAAAAGCAAGGAACCTAGCAGCACAACTGCTGCCCTCCAGACGTTCACCTAATTTAAAAAGACACAACTTGTATCTACGAATAACACAGCACCAGGAGCCACCTCGGGGATGTACTCCACGGCACCTCTCCAAACAGAAGTCAGAGGAAGTCACACAACACAATCAGACCCAAGCCCGCCCTGGGGTAAGATGCGCTGGTTCATCCACCGTGCTGTGCTCAGCCAGGCCAGGCCACCACCTTTCTATCCATTCCTCCTATTACAGAGAGCCTTGATTTTAAATTCAAGTGTTCCACACAATTGTTTTCTCCGTTAATCCAAATCCCTGAAATCAGAAGGCCTTAACTTTAACAGCTCATACAAATATAACCAGAGTGCATAGACTTTTTATAAATCCTTAAAATATCTCATTAGTATAAAAAAACCATGGTCATTTACAATTCCAAGTCTACAGTATTCAACACAACAATTCTATATGCTGGAGCCTGGTATTCTCAAATTACAGCAATTTATAAGTGAAAAATAAATTTCCTTGTTAATTGAAGGACAAAACGCTCAAAGTACCAAATGAATCCAAATATCCTACAATTCTGTTATTTAACAGCATATTTCTTTCTACGATACAATATTCAAAACAATATCAAAGCAAAACAATTTTCAAAAATTTAAAAAAAAATTTTTTTTAATAAATACAGTATTTTAAAAATGGAAAGTATAGTACTGAGATCAAAATCTCATGTGGCTCAACATATAAATTGTTGATAAAAAAATTTAAGAGCATATTTACATGGCATTTTAAAAAACCTATTGTCTTGCATAATGGTCCCAAAGGAGCTTATTAAAGTTTTAGAAGACTCTCTAAATAAATCAATAAATAAATAAACATTAAAATATATACTTCATCAAAGACAAAAAAGCACTTCAACAACAACAAAACTTGTAACAAGAGTAGAGACAGAAAGCAGAGCCCCGTGGAGCCTTAGCCCACTCACCTTACTGGGAGGAGTGTGTGCACTTGTTTTTCCTTCTGGTGACCTTGGTGGAGAATGTACATCAGATAGATCTAGTGCACCCTGAAATATTTCACAGTTTAAAATTAAAACATTTAAAAATAAAGCATGAACATACCAATTATACCTGAACAGAATATCAGCATTTAAAACCACTATACAATATTGGCACTTTTATTTCTTCCTATTAATATAAATATCCTCATTAGATTTTCTTCAAATTTTACCAAAACACAAAGCAAACAGATTTGTGATTCTAATTACCTGCTGAGTATTTCACCCAAACACCTTGAACAGGCTATACTCAGGCCACATTTAAACATGCCCCCAAGCTTCCTTTCCAGAGTTATTTAACTTTGCTTCTCACTTTGCTTTCTTCTCACTTTGCTTTCCCAACTCGCCACACTAACACTGTCCGGAGATTCTCAAAGATCTACTCTTTCTACCTTCCCTTGACTTGCTTCCTTACTTCACTGTCTCAAAAAAAAAAAAATCAACTAGCAACTCTCATAAAAACAGGAGTACATTCCAAAAGTGGCTCCTGGTGCTGCGTTATTCATAGATATAAGCGACTCTCATAAAAACAGGTAACTGAGTGGGGGGGCGGTGGGATGAACTGGGAGATTAGGATTGACATGTACACGCTAATATGTATAAAATGGATAACTAATATGAACCTGCTGTCTAAAAGAAATAATAATAAAATTAAATTTAGAAAACAAAACAGGTAACTATTACAACTATGCGGGATGAGGCACTAAATTACAGGGGCTGCCAAGAGGGAGTAAGTAAAAACAAGAGAAAATGTCCCCGAAGTCAGAGTCAAGAGAACATGGATGGTGGGGCTTCCCTGGTGGTGCAGTGGGTAAGAATCTGCCTGCCAATGCAGGGGACACGGGTTCGAGCCCCGGTCCAGGAAGATCCCACATGCTGCGGAGCAACTAAGCCCGTGAGCCACAACTACTAAGCCTGCGCTCTAGAGCCCGCGAGCCACAACTACTGAAGCCCATGTGCCTAGAGCCCGTGCTCCGCAACAAAAGAAGCCTCCACAACGAGACGCCCGCGAACCGTAACAAAGAATATCCGCCACTCGCTGCAAGTAGAGAAAGCCTGCACGCAGCAAAGAAGACCCAACACAGCCAATAAATAAATTTACTAAAAAAAAAAAAAAAAAAAAAAAAAAGAGAGAGAACATGGATGGTAACATTGCACAGCTAGGTATGGGAGAGGATGTACCATTTCAGGTGCAGAACAGATGAGAAAAGGGGGAAGGCAAGAAAGCAAAAGCCACTTCACAGGTAAGCTCCACCTGGCCTAAGCACAAGGTTGCACATTTCAAAAAAAGGCGTAAGGCTAGAAAGCCAGGTTGGTGCCACATCATGCAGGATTTTCAAGTTGAGGAACCTGGAGATTATTCAGTTGCCATTACATAGTCACTGTAATGTTTAAAGAGGAAAGAAATAGAGAAAGAGCTGAATTAATTCAGCAATCATGAATAGAAAAGACTGAAAAGATGTGGGCATAGCAACCTGGTTTTTAAGGGGGGGTTAAAATGCACTTTTGGTAAAAGCTTCACTGAGTTCAGTGGGCTAATCCACATCTAGTTTTCTTTTCCAGCATCACAAGTCCAAAGTCCATTACCTTCCACATTCCTACAGACCAACCTGACCTAAAAGCACACATTTAACCAGGTATCTAGAACAGTCACGACGTTGTCTACATCCATGAAACAGTATCTTTATATAAAACTAATGTTTGTAAAGGAAATCAGACCATTAATCTCATTAGCACGATTTCTAAAAAGAAAGGGTAAGAAAGACAATGGTTAATCAAAAAAAGAAGCATGAAAATGTTTAGAAACTGCAAAATCAACAGCTTAAAGTTTTAAGCCTAGTTTAAAAAAGCCTTTAAGTTCAAAAAATTGTTAACTAGCCTATAATTCAGCCCTTCTACGTTTAAAAATAGTAGTAAAAGTAACAAGCAACAATTGAGTGCTCTCAGCATGTCACATGCACTAACTCACGCTTGGACTAACTCACGCTTGTAAGCCCCATGACGCCTGCAACGAAGGCTACCATCCCATCTACAAAGGAGGACCAAGGCCGGAGGCTAGTTAGTGGAGGAGCTGGGATTGGCTCCACACAGCCCAGCCCCTGAACTCCCTGATCTGAGCATCACTCCCCAGGACAGGTGCGGCAGCAGCCCCAGAGCTACCGCATCTCCAATTTTCATCAAAATGTGCATTTATACAATCTCTGAGTATGTCTTCTTTTGTTTTGAAGGAATAACCTCTTTTTATTTAAACCCGACTCATTACGTAGGCACTAATCTGCGTGGCCGCACTAGACAGGCAACGACTGGAAAACAGAAACAGGTAACAAAGGGCAGGACTGTACTTACTTCCCCACTGGTTGGCCCTTTTTCTTTCTGTTGACAGCGTCTGATCACTTCTAATAATAAGGGTCCACCCACCGTACCTTCTGCTTCAATAATTCCTAAATCTCGGGCTAAATTCTCTCGACCTTCGAGACCTTGAAACTGGGAAAGAAATAAGATATAAAGAAGTATAAATGCACCAAAATATAGAAAAGTTATTTTCAGAGATTAAAGAAAAATATTTTCAGAACTTAAAGACACCTCTAAACTCAAAGAGGCCATTTTTCTAAGGAATGAAACATCCATTTTTAAGAATTATATATTTCTTTTACCAAGTCTCTGCATTGAAAGTCTCCATTACCAGGTATAGGCTTAAAGCAGAACAAGTTAACTCTATAACAACACTTACGTCAAGTTATGTGAAGCAGGGACACTGATGCCAGCTATCTGACAGCTCAGATGGCTTTTGAGAAAAAGATAATCAACTATAAAATATAATCTTTATGCAAGATTAAACTAAGTAAGTTGTCAAATTTTGTTAACTTTCAGCTTGTAATGAACCCATCAGTATCAAAGGCAGTTTCAGAGACAGACGTAAAAAGCATCATTCTTACTGTGCTAGTTTCAGGTTGAAAAACAGCCAAGGTAAAATCAAGATTGAAAAACTGAAGAAATTCGGCAACGAGACTAGCCACCAGCCGGCCTGCAAAGAGCAAAAGAGAAGGTGGGAGAGGGTCTTTAGGAACCCGAGGCCTCCTCACTGACACTGGAAGTAAGAGAACTACAGTAAAGGGAGAAAAGAAGTTTCTCAATGTTTCAAAGTACGAATTTCTTCTCTTGAATAATACAATGAAGTGATGAACATCTCAGTTCTGCCATTTCCGCGTTAGGACCATTGGTCTGGAACTATCAGTAACACAATGTGACATTTCATAAATGGATGAGTGTTTTGCTTTTCACAGGAAAATCAGCTTTTTACAATAAAATTGGCTGTAACCAACAATTTCCCATGACCACTGATATTTAATGGCAACTCAGTTGTACAACAATATACAATTTAAAATGAGAACCTAGAAGAATCAGATACTTCAAAAACTAATCTGAAATTCCTCATTTCTCCCAAATGGAGTCAAGATTTGAAAATTCAGAGACAGACAAAATAAACAACAACAAACATCTTACCATCTTTCGTATTTAAAAACTTTTTCAGGCTCTCATTGACTAAAGGAGTTTTGTTCTGTTAAAAAATGAAACATTTTAAGTGTTATACATTTATCCCCAAACGACTACAAAATGTAGACTAAAGTTTAATTTTTTGGCAAAGATATTAAGTTAAATACTGTCACTCACAAAATGATGGCTAAAGCCATTCTGTAACTACTGATTACTACAGGAACTACTTTTTGCTAAGGTAAGGACTGAGACAGGTAAGGACTGAGATATACTCAATTACGAGATTCTTCTTGACAGCAGCAAAAGAAATTACTTAGGTGTAGTAGTGATGGATTTAAGATGTTAATGAATTAGAGGGTGCCTGGAGCACAAGGAAAGGTATAAGACAGACACAGTCTTTCAAAACTGAGGGGAAAAGTTGCAGAGGTATTAAAAAGCAGAACATGAGTCAAGGGAGTCAGCTTTCTCCTTGAGAGAGATGTAAACATGTTTCCATGCTCAACAGAAGAGCCAGCAGAAAGGGAGAGGCCAAAGATTAACAGCGTATAGAAGAGGCACTGACCGTAACACCTAGAAGGTAAAACCCAGAGAAAGTGATTATTCTTGGACAAGATAGAGTCGCCTCTACTAAAGCAGGAAGGAACGAGAAACAGATGAACACAGATGCAGGGGAGCTTTTTCTGAGATGAGTGACAGATTGTGGGGGAGGACACAAAAAGTTAGGATCTGATGCTTCTATTATCTAGTGAAGCGAGAGACAAGACCGTCTGTCAACAGTGAAGGAATCAGGTGATGTAGGAGGCTAACGTGAAGGCGAAGTGGGAGCTGCTGAGCAGAGACGAGAATCAGGGTCAGCAGCTCAGGGCCTCAGAGGCTGGAACCGCCAACCCAGGAACATGAGCAGTCCAGCGCGGGGACCGCTCGAGCGCAGACGG